TTGCACAGTTGTGGGAATGGTAAGGGTTATGCTGGTTTCATGGACACCTGGATTTAAGAACTCAGATCAAGTTAGATAATAGTGGCTTTTTCTCTCCTTTTCTTTTCTTCTCCTCTCTTCTTTTTTATCTCCTCTGTCTGCTGTCCTACTACTTTCTCTGTGATGTTGGGAACATGTCGAAGCCAAGAGGACAAAGTTCTTGTTAGCAAATTCAAGTTAAAGTTGAGAGACAAGGCCGGGCGTGGTGGCTCACGCCTGTAGTCCCAGCACTTTGGGAGGCAGAGGTGGGGAGATCACCTGAGGCCAGGCATTCGAGACCAGCCTGGCCAGCTTGATGAAACCCAATCTCTACTGAAAATACAAAAATTAGCTGGGTGTTATGGTGGCTACCTGTAGTCACAGCTACTTGGGAAGCTGAGGCAGGAAAATTGCTTGAACTGGGGAGGTGGAGGTTACAGTGAGCCAAGACCGTGTCACTGCACTCCAGCCTGGGTGACAGAGTGAGACTCTGTCTCAAAATAAAGAAATACAAACAAAAATCTAGAGATGAGTTTTTGTCTGGTTCACATGCTCATCCCTGGACCTACCAGTGTGGCCATGGGTATTGGACACTCTGGCTCAGCCAGCGTTATATCCCCATGTCTCTCTGTGGAGTGGGCGAAGGAGGAGGAAGATGATGATGTGCAGTTTGATATCAAAAGTAGGGGGAGGTTTTGGGGAAAATAGCACTATAACCAAGGGAAAGGCAACCTGAACATTTATCATATCCTGTAGGCTATACCTCCTTGATTTATTTTTTGTATGGCTTAAAGCCAGGGCTCTTTCCCAATTGGGGCTTTTTGTTTTGTTTTGTTTTGTTTTTTGAGCTTGTAATAAACGTTTAAATTTCATCAGTTTGAATTTCTTTGCTGCCAATAGTGGATATTTGCTTTTTTTTTTTTAATCTGTCATTTAATATACACCTTTCTACTTAGACTACATCTTGAGAAGAATTATATTGGCTCATTGGACATGTTTTCTCCCAAGAATTTAAACTGTGAAGTAAGAGATGAAAAGATATGGGCCAATGTTTGAAGGACCAGGCAGGGCGGTGGCATGTCTTTCCCTGTGATTCCTGTCAATTATTGTATCCTGGTTTCGGTTTTCTAGTTCTCTTTTGAGTGGGTTCTTATATTCTTTCAGGAAAGTTTCTTTTTGCTAATAATGATCAGTGTCAATTTCCAGTGCTCACAAGCAAGAACCATGCTTTCTTTTAGAAGATTGGTGTAATAAGGCCACTGCCATTCTCATGAGACTTGTAGGAATCTTTGACAGTAGAGAAATCACAAATACAACTTCTGTTGTTTGACCTGTATGTTGCTTCCCTTTGGTAACAGAGATTTACATTAAATGAAGCCAAGAAGTTACATTAGAGCCTTTGCTGCCCTTTATGGTATTGCTAGTCACATATGACTATTGAAACCTAAATTTTAATTAGGATTTAAAATTGAAATTGCATTCCTCAGTCTCACGAGGCACATTTCAAGTGTGCATTAGCAACATGTTGCTAGTGGCTATCATATTGGAAGGCAGAGATTATAGAATATTTCCACCATCAAAGAAAGCTCTGTCAGACCACACTGTCGGAGTATAGACTCCTCAAGGGTAGGCATTCTGTCCTTGTTATTTTCCGATGTATCCATGACATTTACAATGGGCTCAGCATGTATAGGTCCTCAGTAAATATTTGCTGAATGTTGAAATAGCATATATTGGCTGCCTGCCATAGAAGACCTATACCATGATCCTTACAGTTGGCTCCCGTATATTTTGAAGAGAACTTGAAACAGCTCCATCTTAATGTTATTCCAAATTTCCATTTAAACTTTTTCATAGCTACATTGTCTGTGTAACTTGGCCCTCCAGTTGACCTACTATTTCTGCCTTCATAATTACTTTAAAAGTATAAGGTACTTGATCTCATAGTTTCTTTTCCCACTACTTACTCATCTTTCTCCTTCTGAATTCTCCCTATCTTTTACTCATTAAAACTTTTGACAGTTTCCACTGTAGCCTCTGGAATCCCGATTCTGTTATCAATAACTTTTTTTGCAATCTAAACATTTTTGTGAATGCCTCTCCACCTACCAAAAACTGCTTTCTTCTCATGGTATGTAACCTGGCACACCTTTTAAGCAGAAATTACTCTTCCTTTCTCTCTCCTGCAAGAAGAGACGAAGAAGTGAAGTCAGCATTTGTAAACCCCATTGGTGCTTCCAGTTTACTGTCTGAGTATGGTTAAAGTGATTTTTTTCTTTGATATTTTTTGCATCCAGTTTTATGCCTGTCTTTCATCTCTTCTAATTAATGACCTACAGTGTATTCCTTAACAGTCACTAAGGATTTTCATATCTGGCTCAACTTTTTTCTGTTTTCTATCTGTCTTGCCATCATTCTTAGTGAGCATGTATTCATGTTGTTGAACTACCCAACACCTTAGCCTTACGGTTTATTCTGTCTGCACTCTGGCATTCTCTTATCTTTATTCTACTTTAGCATCTTGTACACCTAGGCCCTTCTTGGACCTTGTCATCACCTAGACTTCATCACTTCAAAGAGGTAAATATCTTTTTTTCCCTCTTACTCATGCTACTCTCACTGAAGATATTGAAATTAGTAGTCTTTGGACTTCTCTTTTTCTTCCAACCTGTTAACCTGGCTCCATTCCTTTTCAGCTTGGAAACTGTTTGATGTTCTTACTTGTACAGGAGCAAAGAATATGAATTTTCTCGACTTCTTGTCATCTTAGAATTTCAGTATCTTCATCCATCCTCTCTTCCCTTTGTATTTTGAAAATTTCCTTTGCCCCCTCTTAAGTGAACAGTGCTTTTAATGCCATCTTCTCTACTTCCTTGTACTCTTACTCACCTATATCTTTAATTTCTCTATCTCTGACTCTTATTTTTCTTTCAAGACCCAGTTCAAATTGCATCTCATTTATGTAGCTTTAACTTACTATCTAATGAAAGTTAATTGCAGTTTCTTCAGTACGTTGTACTTCTATTATAAAGCATATTTTCTTTTGACTTATTGTGACATACCTTGTGTATTTAAAACCTAATCAAAAGGGATACTGTACTTTACTCCTAAATCTATAGTACTGTCTCTTGAAACATTTTCTACCTTTTTCTCTTTTGTTCAAAAAGGTAGATTTAATGCCATTGGTCTTATTCTATTTTATTTATGTTAAGATCCATTGTCTCATAGAATCCTAAATTATCTGGATTCTAACCCAGTACTGCTTCAACAAAATGAACTGAAGAAGGCCTTATTGTATATCATCTCCTATAGTCTACCATAATGGTGCTTTTACTTATTTCATATTTCATGTAATTTTTTTGTCATCCTTTCATATTCTAATGATTTTCAGATACTCTTTACCATTGGTTTATTTGGCTTCAGATTTTGTATGTAGGGCACTACTGTTTCTCTTCATGTCTATTTAACTTATATAGATAAGTTTATAGATATAAATGCTTTCTTAACTGGGTCATATTTCATATTAATTTGCCAATTGTATCCAGATTCTCAACCGGAGCTAGGATGTACCTAGGGCCTTAGTTTTCAACTCTGGACCTGAACTGAGACCCACAGTGTTCTCCCTTCTATTTTCATCTTAATGATTTTGTGGAAAGAAACCTTTACTAAGTCAGTAACCGAAAAGCCCTAAGTTAGCTGCCCAGCTACCTGAGAGGCTAAGGCAGGAGGATTGCTTGAGCCAAGGAGCTTGAGGCTAGCCTAGGCAATATACTGAGACTGCATCTCTTATTTAAAAAAAAAAAAAAAAAAAAGGCACCGAGTTGGTAACATTCATAAACATTTAATGGACAAAGTACCCAGAAAGTTTGAAAGAGTAATCATATAGCTAGAATTATGAAATAAGAATGTGACTGGTACTGATATGGAGCAAAAGGAAAAGGACTGGCCCTCTTTAGATTCATTGTTTCTGGCATTTGTATGTAAATATCTCAGGAAGCAATGGGTCCTATCTTAAGGTTTTTTCCATGTTTTACTGTCCAATCATCTCACACATTTAAACAGTTAATCCATGATTTGGGTTGGTTCATTTAGTCTATCAACAAACGTTTATTCAATTCTTATTGGGTTTAAAGCATAGACTTAGATTCTTGAGAGTATTGTTCAGATAAACACATTCTACTTGGTTAGATAAGGCATGCTAATAATACCAAGCTATAAATAAGTGCCAAGTGAATTATATTTGAGATAGACGTTTGAAGAGTTTTGAAAGGGAGGAGTCTGAGGGGCCTATCCTGCCAAACCTAATTAGCGTAATGTCTTCCTCATGAGGTTACTGATTTGGTCACTAGCGCTGCTCTGCATTTTAAGGCTCTGGCTGTAGATGTATTATTCCCTTTGAAGAGTCTACAAATGTGTAAGTATACATTCATCTCAGGGATGAAAAGCTCCATAAGATATTTTATAGAATACAGGATGGTGTGTTGTATTAGTTTTCTTTTAAATCTGTAGCCTTGTAGAATGAAAATGAAGTACTGGGTGTCTGAAAGAATTTTGTAAATTGTAAAATACTATATAGATGTAAGTTGGCCTCTCCTAAACTAGACTACTTTCTGATGCCTTAGCAAGACCTTCTGTACTTTTCCACAAAATGCTACTTGTTCAGGCTGTTCTTTGTGTATATCAAAATCCTACCTGTCAGGTTTTTATCCATGTAGTATTCCCTAGTACTGTTGGACAGACTTGATTTCTCATCCTCTCTATCCCCATACTTTGTAGATTTTCCTATCACAATAGCAGTGATTTGTTTAACATTTTTGTTGTATGTGAACACAATCTAGTTTCTTGACGTCTCAGTCTTTGGTTGTATTTATACCTTTACTCAGTGACTGGTGCCAAACAGGCATTCCATAAAATGACTGTTTAATTCAGTAAAATAAATGAACCCTGGATTCTAATGTCTTTTGTTGGGTTGTGATTTTTAGGTTAAAACTTCAGCAACAAATTGTGACTATTGAAAATGCAGAGAAGGAAAAAAATGAAAATTCTGACCTAAGACAGGTATGATTTTAGCAAAGATTTTCCTTTTATTTTTCTCAAGTGCTTCTTTAAATTTGTGTTTTGCAAATTAAAAAATTTTTTTGCAATTAGTATTTTTAGAATCTAACCACAATTAATAACATACTGTTGAAGGTTAATATGTAAAGATAAAATGTTTAAATCTGTATAATTTAGTAAGCTTCTTTTGCTAACTGCTGTTATTCTTAAGATATATAGGCTGGGCACGGTGGCTCACGCCTGTAATCCCAGCACTTTAGGAGGCCAAGGCAGGCAGATAACAAGGTCAGGAGTTCGAGACCAGCCTGACCAACATGGTGAAATTACGTCTCTACTAAAAATACAAAAATTAGCTGGGTATGGTGGCATGCACCTGTAGTCCCAGCTACTCGGGAGGCTGAGGTAGGAGAATCTGAACCCGAGAAGTGGAGGTTGCAGAGAGCTGAGAATGCACCATTGCACTCCAGCCTGGGTGACAGAACAAGACTCTCTCTCTCTCTCTCTGTGTGTCTGTGTGTGTGTGTGTGTGTGTGTGTGTGTGTGTGTGTATGCTGTGGCCCATAATTTTTTTAAATTGCAGTTAAAAGGACAGTATTATAAAATTCTGAATTTTAAAAACTCAATAGAAATATTTTCCAGGCATGATTGACATGTAACTTTATATTATGAGGTAGTTTTTACTATGTCCCTATGAAATCTAAGATTTGTATTTATGGAAGAAAATTTATATTTATAATTAACAGGAAAGATTTGTATAAAGTTGGGTAAAACATGGAAGAGTGATCTTTTCTGAATTATTTCTTTTTGTTGTTGTTTTTGTCCCTATAAATTATGAAATAGGATTCCATTTTTAGAATTCATGTTTGTGTGCTAGTTGGTACTGATTTTCATGTGCAGTTATGGTTTCTAAGTCTTAACTAGATGGATATAATGTTTGATACCCAGAGAGAAGTTATTTAGTCTCATTGGCATTTGGGCTTTCTGTCATGCTATGCATATGGAGAGGTATTAAGCTCTTTGAAGTTTACTTATTCAAGCTGCTGTAATACAGATTTAATATTTGCCACTCCAGTTAAAAATAAAGAATGAATAGTTCTACATGTAGAAATTCATTCTAAAATAGAAATCTGAGATATGCCATTTTGTTTTCTGCTAAAAATTGCTCTGTGGACATTCAGAATCCTATCTGAATTGGTTTTGTTACCATTAAGAAGTAATGGGATTATAATCCATTTATTTAGTTTATTATATAAGAATCTTGTTTCTTTTTGTCCTTGAATCTCATAATGGGTTCTTTTGATTCCTGTCTCTTGACGGTGTTTGCTCTCAAATGTCTCTCAGAAGTGGCTAAGAGAGATAAAGGAAGTGAAAGGAAAATAAGGACTTTTATTGTTTATTAATTGGTAAAATAGTTTGTGGGGGAGTTATATATAATTGTCTTAAATGAAGATTATTTGGATATAATTTAGAAGAGTGTGCATCTTTCTAGCCTGTTAATCTGTGATTAGACCTCTCAAGAAAAAGTACTACCAGATAAAGGTAAATTGGGATGGGAAAAAAAGCTTTGAGTGACATTATGTAGTTTGGTAAATGGCTGTAGAGGCCAAGTGATCTGTAGCATTTATTAGATTTCCTAGATATCTTTCTTCTGCCCAGCAGCACTGGACATGTAGACTGCTTGGAAACCTTTTAAAAACAATGTGAGAGTGATTCTTCCCATATTTACAGTGAACAATTTTGATTGCTTGGAGAGTAGAACTTCTGGAAGGTTGCTGATCTCAGGGTATGTGGGAAGAAGAGGATGGATTTTTTTTTTTTTTTAGCTGCTTTCTCAGCTGACTTGCTTTTAAAATCAGTTTGTTTGTTTCTTTTTTTCCCTAGGAAGTGAGGGGACGGCTAGAGTGATAGGAGACTCACTCTAATCACTGGATTCCCTTTTCTCATTTCCCTTCTACCCCCTAATAACCCTTTTTCTCATTCCCCATACCTCTCCTGGCCTGCATATTTTGGGAAGAAGAGGTAGAGGATTCAGTGACTGAGGATTGTAGTTGTTGATGGTCTCTGGTTATAAGAAATGCTCCTAGGTGCTGCTATTTATTATTTCCTTTAGGGGGCATCTTCAAGGGCACACCAACTTTGGGGAGCATTTGCAAAGGGAGATGCTTGGTATCTTCTGCTTCTGTCATACCTTACCACATTTATTTAGTGGCTTTTAATTTATCTTCTTTCTTCTCTTTTAAGCAAATGAGTAGTTTGCAGATCCAAGTGACCTCACTTGCACAGTCAGAGAATGACTTGCTGAACTCAAACCAAATGCTGAAGGAAATGGTGGAGAGGTTAAAACAAGAATGCCGAAATTTTAGAAGCCAAGCTGAAAAAGCGCAACTAGAAGCTGAAAAGTAGAGTTTGCTCTTTATGTACAAACCTTTTCTTTTTTCTATATAATATATAGTTATTTTAGTAATGATTCCAATGGTGATTATATTTTAGGAACTAGTTACGAATACACTTTGATAGTGTACAGTGGCCTACTGAGGTAATAATGTATGTTTCTATAGAATGAACTATACTGACTCTTGAATTGTTTTAAAAAAGACATTAAAATTCTGACAGCATAGTATTCTGAAAAACCTCAAAGAAAACTTTTTTATTTATTGAGTAAACCAAAACATTTCTTCAAAAATCTGTTCTTCTGAATGCCAGAGAACAGAATGGATTTTTTGTTTTGTTTTTGATGTACAGAACCTACTTCCTTGAATTAGAACTACTCTCTTGGATTTTCTTTGAAAAGCTTTTTTTTTTTTTTTTTGGTCTTAAAATTTGTTACTAGTAGTATAGTAAAACTGGTAGGGATCAAGTGATTGTGGTGAAGTTGAAGATCTTATATCCTCTGGAAAAATTTGTTTAGATGTGGTAGAACATTGTACTATTTTGTACTATTTTGTATTTACTTTGCCTTTATAACTTGCTGGCCTTATAAGTAAATTTTTATTTTAATCTACAAAACATTATTCTTTTCACATTTCTTCTACTGAAGGCCACCATGCTATATAAAACTGTTTTTCTTCAGTTTTTCTATTATTACATATTTTAAAGTTTGCCCATGGTTTTATATATGGGGTTAAATTTCAAGAAGAGTAATCAAGATGAACATCCATAGCATGTTGTGACATTTCAGATGATCCAACTTACATTTCTTTTATTTTGTAAAAACTAGAAACGTGTGCCTTGAAATTCTCAAGTGTTTGATTGAAATGAGTGTAATAATTCTAATGATAGTGTAGCTAGCAAATTTAAGTATTATTTAAATAATATTTATAGACTTGTATAGAAGAAAATAGCTCGACTAAGGGTCAGTGGAATGTGATTTAATTCCAGCTAAGATACTTAAAATCTTGTATGACCTTTGGCAAGTAATCTAACTTCTCAGGGTTTGTTGTTTTTATTTGTACTGCCTGTAGTAAGAATAATAAAAAAATCATATAAAGTATGCAGAATAGCTTTAAAAATATAAGTTGTTATAATGTTATTTTAAGATAACATTTGTATTAATTTTACTCTAGTCAGAAGACATACTGCATTAAGATCTGATACCCGGCTTGATTTTCTAAGTTTATGAGGATAGATATTTGTAGTTTGATGGTTATTATATCTCATACCTGGTTATCAAGTGTTTATCTTGCCATTAAGTAGATGTGAGTCCTTAAGCAAGTTAGTTAACTGTTCTAAGCCTCAGTGTCCTCATTTATAAAATGGACAGAAGTATAAAGGTGACAGAAATACCTAACTCGGGATTTTTGTAAAGAATACATGACATAATACACATAGTGTCCTGAGTCCAGTGCCTGATTCATAGGAAGTGCTCAGTAATGGTGAGATTTGCAAACGTGGCCATACAAGAAGGCCTGTAGTTAGATAATTACCAATATGGTCAGACAGGTAGCGAGTTTGCTTATACTTCAGATAATATCTATTTATTCCTAAGAACTTACTTAACTTCCATGTTTTACATACATTCTTCTGACAGGACATTAGAAGAGAAACAGATACAGTGGTTGGAAGAAAAGCATAAGCTTCATGAGCGTATCACAGACAGAGAAGAAAAGTATAATCAAGCTAAGGAGAAATTGCAGCGAGCTGCAGTTGCCCAGAAAAAGGCAAGTGGTTCTTACTAAAATGATTGCTATAGAGTAAAATATAATTAACTTTTTTTTTTTTTTTTTTTTTTTTTTGAGAGTCTCATTCTGTCACACAGGCTGGAGTACAGTGGTGTAATCTTAGCTTACTGCAGCCTTTGTCTCCGGGGTTCAAGTGATTCTCATACTTAAGCCTTTCAAGTAGCTGGAATTATAGGCATGTGCCACCACGCCTGGCTAATTTTTGTATTTTTAGTAGAGACAGGGTTTCCCCATATTGGCCAGTCTGGTCTCAAACTCCTGACCTCAAGTGATCCCCACACCTCAGCCTCCTAAAGCGCTGACAGGCATGAGCCATCACAACCAGCCTAATTAACTCTTTTAGGAGAATATATAGTTGAATCTGAGATTTTAGTGATATGTTTAATTTGATATATAAGCATGACATTTTGCTGTCAACCTTGCAGAAATAAATTGGGAAAATCCAAACTGTCCAGTAGGTTTGTTTCTAAATTTTGTGTGTTAAGTCAGTTGTTTCGAGCTGACAAGCATTTTCTCACACAGAAGGTGTTTTTCAGAGTGATAGTTTCCAGGCCAACCCATGGAAGTCATATTTAACACATTCTCCAGTTAAATTATAGTGTGATGAAGCTTGTTTCAATTATACCTACTATCTATTTTATTGCTTTTGTGGTGAAAAGGCTTTTTTGTTTCCAGTTCAGAAATATAAGAGCATTTTTTTGCCCCAGCAGAAGGAACTGAGACTCCCTTGGCTTCTGAAACAGCTACAGTAGTTCCCACAGCATTGATCCTTTGTAAGTTTTACCTTTGCAGGCATACTTTTCCCCAGAACCTAAAAACTTTGTTTTCTTGGAAACAGTCCTGGGCGTGGTGGAAATAATGTATCTAGATGGATCATCTAAGTCAGTGGCTTACAACTTTTTTCTATTTCAGTAAACCCAAGGAATGTAGCAGGTCCCATTAGTAACCATGACTCATGGCAGTGATTAAGGGAGGGGAGGGACATGGTAATCTTTTCAACAGGATTAGAGGAAGAGGAGGGACATGATGAAGTGAGAAAGAGAGAGAGAGAGAAAGAGTGAGTGTGTGTGTGTGTGTGTGTGTGTGTGTGAGAGATGCAGATTTGAGTTGTCTCCATTTTATAGATTCCCTTAGCAGTAGCATTGGTTGTGGAGGGGAGAGAAGATCTGAGATGAAAGGAAGATGCTTCTACGTGTGGGAACCATTATCTGAATATCTGTTTGATTACTGTAAAGGTTAACTGTTTATATTTGGATAAGAGAAAATAACTCTAGATCATTCATATGTTCTGAATTTGAAAACCACATAGCAGTTCCTAGATACCTTTTTATGTAATTGGATATCACTGCCAAATGTTACTGACAGTTGGAGTGACAACATGAGTAGTCTAAAAGTCATTACTTCTCTACTTTCTTGGTCTCTGAATATTACTTTTATCTTCTCAAAATGCTAGAAGTAGTATTATTAGAAAAGCAGCATTTATTATATGGAAATCCCAGTGTTTTATACCCAAATATGCACACTTGGTTGTTTTTCTGTATTTGTCATTTTTCTTCCTCTCTGTCAGTGTAAGTACTAAAAAGTATATGAGTGTTAATGGGATTTCAGAGGATTGTTTTATGACCTGTGATTTCAGACATCCTACTGATTTTTGTTTGCACTGTTGTTTGAAGCCTAGAAACAACTGAAGCCACATTACAGCAAGAAATCACTAGAAATCGTAAGAGCTAAAATATTGAGACTTTAGGGATAAGTATCTTACAGATCAAATTCTAATTATTGAGGTTAGTTTGGGTTGAATTCTTTTGGAGCAAAAGTGACACCCAGTGGTGAGATTATCAACTAATCATAAGTATACCAAAAAGAGGGGAGGAGGTGATATTTTTAAAAATCTACGGCATATAGCTAGACCCCGGCTCTAGGAAAAATAACTGCATGGTGGCACATGCCTGTAGTCCCAGCTACTTGGAGGGCTGAGATGGGATGACCGCTTGAGCCCAGGAATTCAAGATTGCACAGAGCTATGATAGTGCCACTGCCCTCCAGCCTGGACGACACAGCAAGACCCTATCTGGAAAAAAAAAAAATTGAAACAAACCACCAAAACACTGCAAAGTAACATTTCATTAGTATTGTGACAGGTCACATTTTCTACTGAAATATCTGCCAAATGATGAGTGTAAAGATAGTAAATAGTAATTTTATTTTTAAAAATGTGATCTGCGGCCAGGTGTGGTGTTTCACACCTGTAATCCCAGCACTCTGGGAGGCCAAGGTGGGTGGATCACAAGGTCAGGAGATTGAGACCATCCTGGCCAACATGGTGAAACTGCGTCTCTACTAAAAATAACAAAAATTAGCTGGGTACGGTGACGTGCGCCTGTGACCCCAGATACTCGGGAGGCTGAAGCACAAGAATCACCTGAACCCAAGAGGCGGAGGTTGCAGTGAGGTTAAATCTCGCCACTGCACTCCAGCCTGGCGACAGTGAGACTCAAGTCTCAAAAGAAAAAATGTGATCTCTGGATTGTGATTTAAGTCATAGTGGAATTGGTAAGATCATTTCAGTGAATGATTATGACCTAGAGTTGTCTTACTATGTGGGACCCTGCTTTAGGAGCTTACAAGTGTACATCAATTAAAATGGAAAAACATCATGTGTAACTTAGAAATACAATTAGAAAGTATATACGTGTATATAATTATAGGACTGAAGGGATCTTAGCATTCAGGTAGATTTTACACGTTAGCAAACTAAAGTAGGAGGTACCCAAGATTACTTGACTAGTAAGGATCAAAAGTTGATTAAAATCTACATGTTTCTGTTCTCAGTCTGGTGCTCTTTCCACTGCTCTGTTACACTTTAATTTCCTACTTTCTTTGATTCCATTTACTTCATAACTTTTCTCTTTATTATGGTCCGTCTGAGTTGTTTCTTATGTCAGAATAATCATTGTAAATTAATTTAACTCATACCCTTTTCTTATTCAAGTTAAAGATAATGCTTCTATTTGACAAATTTGGCTATCAGATTGCATAAATATAATTCTTAAGAGTGCAGCAGACTTTTTAGGTTCTTTAATGCCAAAAATCATAACATTTCATGCCATTAGATTTAACAAAAATCACATATTATGAACCCTAGGGCAGAAATAATAATCCGTTAGAGTTGCTTTCCTGTGAAAAGGTTTTTTTTCTCCCTCAGGCTGCCATCTGAGGATGTTTACTCCGAGCTCCAAGCTCCAAAGCAAAAAGATTGTAATTTCTGCTGTTTTTAGGTAGTCTTTGGTGTAAAGGATGTTTTGTTGTGTTGAATTGTTTGGAAAAGCTTGACTAGGATCTTGAGTTGGGATGCCATTCTATGATTGATACATACAGAGATAATGTATTTTCCCCACCCCCACTGAAAAGAGATCTTTTGAAGTGAACACAGTGAGGTTTTTTTTTGTATATACAGGCACCTGAAATGACTTTTTTTTTTTGAGACGATGTCTCTGTCACCAGTCTGGAGTGCAGTGGCATGATCTTGGCTCACTGCAACATTCGCCTCCTGGGTTCAAGCCATTCTCCTGCCTCGCCCTCCCAAGTAGCCAGGACGAAAGGCATCCACTACCACACCCAGCTAATTCTGATATTTTTAATAGACTGTGTTTTACCATGTTGGCGAGGATGGCCTCTATTTCTTGACTTCGTGATCCACCCACCTCGGCCTCCCAAAGTGCTGGGATTACAGGCATGAGCCACTGCGCCTGGCCTGTTATTTTTATTCTAAGGTATGTGTCTCTGAAATAATTCTTGGTCAGATGCTGTTATGAATGCTTTCAAAAAAGAGATGAATTATAGTCTGAAGTTGCAAAATATCTTACTGAATATGTTGTGTGGCTTAGATTATGCTATATACTGGGGGGGGGGAAATAGAAGCCATGAGTACTTCTTGCCTTTGATGACTGTATAATCTTGTTGTAGAAATAAGATAACATGCAAGAAACTCCTAAATAATACCACCAGTCGCTCCTGGGTGATTTATGTGGACGCTATAAGAACCACTGTGTTAGAAAGAAGTCTGAAGACAAGGAGACCACTTAGGAAGCTGTTAAAGTAAACTTAAAGTGAAGTAAGAAGTCTGAAATTGGGGCTTAGAATATAGGAATGAAGGTGAAGGGTGACTGCCAGAGGTATTCCAAAGGAAAAAATAATTACAGAATATATTGGTAAGTAAGAAAGATAACTATGAAGTATTGTAGCTGTGAAAAGATGTAAGTGCAGTTATTATAATGGATTGAAGAATGTCAGTTGAGGAGTAGAAAGATACAAAACACATGTCAGATATGAAATGATGGCAGTACATCCATGTAGACATGACTTAGATCCTTAAGTAAAGATATTGTATAGGTAACTAAAAATGATAGAATGTGAAGTACAGAGATGAATAATTCTAATTAGAGATATATAATTAGAAACTCAAGATTTTGCAGATCGCTGAATACTAAGTTTACTTAGAACAAGGAGCTAGGTGTGGTGCGAACAGAGGTAGAAGCTATATTGTGATGTTATGGGAACCAAAGGTAAAGATATCAAAGATAAATGGCCATTAACATTATTGAAAAAAAGTTAATTGGATTTGACTAGAAGGTAGTAAAAGGGGAATCCCAGCCTTAATTCTTGTATCTATATTATTTTAATTGTTCTATTTATTAGTCCTTGTGTCATAACGTTTACAATACTAAGGCATCCACCACTCAAGTAAAAATTTGAATCATTCCTTTCCACTAATTTTCCCTCTGGGCTTTCCATTTCTTTCAGTAGAAGTTATTCTTGCATTCACTTAGGCTTCAAACCTGTGATTCATCCTGAGGTCTGCCTTATCTCCAAATTTAGTCAGGCACTATATTAGTTTCCTAAGGCTGCTGTGACAAATTACCACAAACCTTGTGGCTTAAAACAACAGAAGTTTATTCTCTCGCAGTTCTGGAGCCTAG